TGAGGTAGGCATCTCACTCCTGCAGAAATAGGCGTGTGCACTGAAAGTAAGGGCAATGAAGGAAGTTTCAAAGAGGGATATGAAGAAAGCTTGTCTTAGAAAGATGTTCTGAGTTTTTTGCAGACATGGCAAGCTTTCTGAACCAAAGTTACATTAGCTGCAATCTTACAAGCATTCTGAGAACTTGAACAATTTTCAGTGTTTCTTCTAACATTTTTTTCCTATGACTATACAACAGAATTAAACTCTTTAGTTATCTGTGCTTCTTTTCTTTGTGCCCTGCTACTTCTGTAAATGAATGCCCTGCCTAGAATAACTTTAGAAGGAAAGGTTTGCTCTAGGTTTCTTTTTAAAACTTTATTCCGCACAGAGAATTAGGTACAATTTGGGGAGATGGCATCAAACTAATCCTCTAATTTATTTGAGTCCTTGGATGTCAAAGACTCATGCTTTCATGTATATATCAATCAGTAACTGTCTGTTTTTGCTTCATCTATTTTAATCCACAAATTTTTTATCAGTAATGACCTATTTCACAATTGTTTTTATTATAGATATCTCTGATAGAACTCTCTGTCATACTTCATTTCAGGTCACCTTAGAGTGAGCTCACAATTCTTACCCATAGCAAAGATCACTGCAAGAATAATCAGATAAAAACGATCTCTTGCTATTTGTTTCTAGGTAACCAATTTGGTCAGATATAATTATAAATAATAGACATGTCTATAAATGCCTTTTATATTTACCTGACAGTTCTCTCAGATCTGAAGTTTGGGCTGTCATTTGTAATATGATATAAGAGATTATAAATATGAATGAATTTATCTTGAGTAGTAAATATTGTGGTAGCTACAATAGTTTGTTCCAGATAAACTTAAATTCACATACAAAATAGGTATTCATAGCTCTATCATAGACTTGCGGATGTAAAATGAAGACATTGTGGAAACTGGAATATCAACAAAAATATCTTTTTTCTTTTTCAAAAAGTTTAAATTGATCATATTCTTTTCTATTTTCCAACCCTTTGCAGATGTTCCCCATTTCTTACCCACGCAATAGCATGTTCTTTCTCTCTTTAAGAATAAATTAGCTGAGCAGTGGTGGCACAGGCCTTTAATCCCAGCACTTGGGAGGCAGAGGTCGGTGAATCTCTGTGAGTTCAAGGCCAGCCTGGTCTACAAGAGCTAGTCCCAGGAAAGGCTCCAAAGCTACAGAGAAACCCTATCTTGAAAACAAAACAGACAAAAAAAATAAAACAGAATAATCTAACAATAACTTGGAGACTATTTTGTGTTGGCCAGCTGCTTCTGAGCTTAGGACTTCAGAGGTGTTTGCCTGGAGGTGCTTCATGTACCCAGTGGCATTCCATTGAAGACAACTGATTTTCTCTCTCCCAGAAGCAACCATTTGTAAAAGCTTCTGGATTAGTGTTGGAACCTTGTGCTCACAGGACCTGAGTTCAATTCCCAGCACACTCATGGCGATATAACCATCTGTTCTTGGGGAACCAGTGTCCTCTGGATTCTGTTGGCACCAGGCATACATGTGTTGGAAATATATACATGCAGAAAAGCAACCATACCCATAAGATAAACAATTTTTAAAGACTCCTGATTTCTGGTCTTTATATTTTAATTTCCATTAAAAGTTACGAAATCTCCTGAGTAAATTGGGAGCATGGGGACCTTGGGGGAGGGCTGAAGAGGGGAGAGGAGAGGCAGGGAGGGGAGCAGAGAAAGATGTAAAGCTCAATAAAAATCAATAAAAAAATATTGTGGAGAAACAGCCAACAATGAAAATAAAATTAGACCTAATGTAGGAGGAGAAGAGTTTCCCACAAGAATAGGGTCATGTTTCACTGTCCACAGAAACCACAAAACCTATCTCTTCTGTGTCCAGAATATATTCATATAATCTCTCTCTCTCTCTCTCTCTCTCTCTCTCTCTCTCTCTCTCTCTCTCTCTGTGTGTGTGTGTGTGTGTGTGTGTGTGTGTGTGTGTGTGTGTGTGCATGTTTAACTTCTGGCAAGAAGAGTCTGATGCGCTTTCTCTGGGCGACATTTGATAGCATACATAATCTGGATTTTTTTTATGGGGCAGCTGTGGTTATTTTTCTTCTTATTGTGGGCTGTATCCCAAGCAATTGCCATTCTTTCAACAAGTTTCCTAATAGTTATTTCTAAAGACACAGGAAATATTAATTTTTAAGCTTTCTTTTGCTCCACATTGCCCTCGGCACAGACAGCAATGGGAAACACACTTTCCAAAGCATCTAAGTGTGTGCGCAAGCTGGAAACCCTTAATCCTGATCCACTAAAGAAAAATGGAAATGATTTAGTGGGCCACAGATCAACACCTAGGAAACACACCGCGTGACTGAAAGATCGAGGATGACATCCTAAAATACGGGGGAGGTAAGTGGGCAGTTTTCAGAAAGGAGTCCTGGGGCAACAGTACGAGATGATCAAAGGGAGGCATGGCTAATGGCTTTAAAGCTCCTGGTAAATTAATGAGAACGGTGGTATAGCTTCCCTCATAAATAGCTAAGTCAACTACTGGGACTTGTACAGGGTTCCCCACACAGGCAGAAAACAACGTTCAAGCTTCGATGCAAATGAACGCAATTCTAAGTGTTCAAAGTGGATTTACAATATAACAGTCTTCTTAGTGTGTTTATTTTTCTTCTCTACAACATACAATGCTATGCATTTTGCTGTATTTATTCTTTCGATATTCTTTATTTCGTCACATACTAATCAGCATCATGTGAAGTCCTGTGTAGTGCACATTGACTTTTCTTTTAATATGTGTACAAGCTAAGCTGTGTTCTAAAGGGAGGAATCATTGTCAAACCAAAGCTCTGGTTCTACCTCTCTTATTTTGGATACTTTTCTAATAGCATAAAATTTTAGAAGTATTAATCCATTAGAGAACAATGATGAACAAAATATCTATGAAAAATGATACTAATCTCTGAATTCCTGTTTCATGTACACTTTAGATATTATTATTAAATTAGTGTTTTGCCTGCTTATATGTGGTGTGGGGGGGGAGGGGTATATCACATGCATGCCTGGTGCCTGTGAAGATCAGAAACAGGTTTCAGATCTCCTGAGACAAGAATTAGAGCTGTCAGCTACTATGTGGGTGCTGGGAGTCAAACGCAGGTCCTTTGGGAAAGAAATAAAGGCTCTTAACCACTAGGCCAACTCTCCAGCATGAACATCATCGCCATGTTATCCAATCTTGTGGGAACACATTGGACTTTTCTACCAGAAATTAAGCTAATTAAATACATTAGGAATAGTATTTTTTTTTTGCCTATGATTCCAGGGTTTTTTCTCCTTTCAAAAATTAAAATGTTTGATGAAGACATATTTTTTTCCTATGGAATAAGTTAATTTTTAAAGAAAAGTTAAATTAATGACTGCTTTAGACAGGTAAAGGCTCCAAAAATTACAGTGCACTGCCTCTTCATTTTCTTTTGTAACATAATTCATTCAATTTGCATTTTTCTTCATCTCAATTCATGTCAATGATTGTTCTATTTAAGTTATCATATTTATGGTCAGTAGGTTGTAATACTTACATTGGAATATCAAACTCATATAAATTTTATGATTATGATTTCTTGATTCTGTACTTCATTTGGTAGTTAGTTAGGTTACTTAAAAAGAAAGAAAGCTGAGTACTGAGTATAGAAGCAGATACATTGCAAATACATCCTGGTATTAATTCTCTCCGACTCTTAAGGAAGACAAACATTCACAGGCACACTTAATTATCGTCAGAACCACTTAATTTATTCAAATTGATCAATGTAGTGAAGAAAGTCCACAGAGTCCTTCTATGTGATAAAGTTGAATTTCTAAATTAAATTTGATAAATTGTGACTGCCTGAGAATTCTGCAGGAGTCATGCGACTTCTGCTTGACAGGTGGTAATGCGCCTGCGGCGCATTTCCTTATTAGCACACACTGGTAATCGGGATGAACACGGACAATCGCTTAACCTGATTACGAGTGGAAACCCCTGGTGAAGATTGTGGTATTGAAAGGGCGAGACTTGGTAGATGAGTCCAAGGCATCACCATCTTCTCCACACATGGGGCTGATGCACGCGCGAAGCGACAGTGATCGTTAGAGCACATACTGGACCTTCGCAGGTTCAAATCACACAACACAGCGAAGAGGAAGTAGACACAAAGCTCACCCCTTAACAAGCAGCTACTTACAATTGATTCCTGCTGGAAAAGGGAAAACAAGTTTTCTCCAAAGGACTGTCACTTGCTCTATCAACTGCACTCCATGACAGACACCGCCCATGCTCAGAGGTAGCTGCAGAGCACAAAACGGACTGCAGGGATTTTTGTGTGCTTATTTTGTTTCAGCATTTTTTTTTTTGCCATATTGGGTTATTTTGTTGTTGTTTGTTTTCATTTTTTTAAATTATTAAAGCTTTTATTAATAGATAAAAATAATTTTCTCTTTTACAGTTTGTCTTTTTTTATCTTTACCAGAATTTATTGTTTTTTCTTTATTTTTTTTATTGAGAAAAGGAAAAAAAAGTTTCTGCCTCCTCCCAGCCTCCCATTTCCCTCCCCCTCCTCTCAACCTTCTCCCCCTCCCCCCACTCTTCTCCTCCTCCCTCTCCAGTCCAAAGAGCAGTCAGGGCTCCCTGCCTTTTGGAAAGTCCAAGGTCCTCCCCCCTCCATCCAGGTCTAGGAAGGTGAGCATCCAAACTGGCTAGACTCCCACCAAGCCAGAACATGAAGTAGGATCAAAATCCCGTGCCATTGTCCTTGGCTTCTCATCAGCTCTCATTGTTCGCCATGATCAGAGAGTCCGGTTTTATCCCATGCTTTTTCAGTCACGGTCCAGCTGGCCTTGGTGAGCTCCCAATAGATCAGCCCCACTGTCTCAGTGGGTGGGTGCACCACCCGTGGTCCTGACATCCTTGCTCGTGTTCTCCCTCCTTCCGCTCCTCATTGGGACCTTGGGAGCTCAGTCCAGTGCTCCAGTGTGGGTCTCTGTCTCTATCTCCATAAAGTTGGGTAAGTAGAGGCAGGAGGATCTGGAAAGAAGATGAAGATGGGACAAAAGTACGATCCAAATATATTTTACTTAAAAAATTAAAATTAAATATGAAAGAAAATGTTCACTTAACTAAAACATTTTAAAATGTATTAACTAATTTAAATATATAAATGTCAATCCTTTGGTTATTTATCTCACAACAGAAATTAAGGCTAAGAAAAACTAAACTGAGGTGTAATGGAATAATAGGATTAGGATCACGTGAAAAAAAAACCTTCTGAGATAATGTATCTACGCATTAAAACCCGTCCTTCAGTGCCAATCACGCTCATTGTGACGTTCAATTTCATATCCATTGGTGTGAATGAGCATTGCTTCATTAAACAGAGGAAGCATCTGCAACTTTGGAAGGGGTTTTGCAAACAGTTTTTTTCTAAATATAAAAGACATATAAGTCATCTTTTGCCAATCTGCATTGTGATATTCTCCAAAATAAGCCACTTCAAACCAACAGTAGCTATTCATTTCAATGAGCTGCAGAGAGGTTTGCAAATTAAATACTTCTGAAGTCACAATTCCAGAAAAGGGAAGCTTTCATTGTATTAATTGCTGTGAGTTTGAAAGGCCAGGTAGAAGGCAGGAGGGGTTCCTAAATAGAGGGCACATTTTCCTTACCACACAGTTACTCAGGGGACAGCCTCATAGAAGGGTTCAATACTATCATGGAGGATGTACTACTTGGAAATTGTCTTTCAAATAAACTGCAACAATACTGTCACCTTAATAAATTAAAGCTTATTTTTTTCTCCCCTGTTATATGCCTTCATGATTCTGACTTGAACATATGTGAAGTTATTTGAATTAAAAGCATGATCTAATACCTGAATACAAGATCTGATGCTACCAAGTACAGCGTGCTAATCCCTTTTGTGATATTCACTCCCTTAGTGGCCTAAGGCAAAAGTCTTTGTCTAGGTTTCAAAGACATATAAAAGTACGTGGAAATGTGGAAATTGTATGCGCCCTCCCAAGCTCTCTACCTCAATCAAAGGAAGAAACTTGCTTGAGATTCAGTCCACATTTAAAAGAAAACTTAGAAGTGGTTTCTGCAGGCAAATAAAATGCTTGAAGCCTTCTTCTCACCTCAGTACCTGTGGAAATCCTTCCAAGCCCCTCTAGGCAAGTTGAGGAATGATTCTCAAGGAGACACTGACCCCTGGAGGCAAAGAGGTCTGCCTTTTGGACAGACCTTGCCTCTTTTAATATCAGAGAAATTAACTGATAGACTGAGAAGAAGAAGGAATGAGATCTGTGGCAAATCCCAACGTAGACCTGATCGGCTACCCTATCCTTTCTTTTACATCTTCTCAAATATCTGTAGATATGAAGACATGTCAGGATCACAAATGGTGGAGGATACATTTGGGGGAAACCAAGCCGAGATTGTAACATTTGCCATTACTGTCTCACCTTGAAGGACAAGTGGGTTTTACTCAACACTAAAGAAAAGATGATGGAAAGATTACAAAAAAAAAAAAAAAACATCTATAATTGTCTATTTTACAAAGATGAAATAAATCATATGAAGTCCCAAAATAGCAGACTACAAGAAAGTTGATTGAAGATTCTTCAGAAATATTGTGGATGCAACCAAAGTTTTGAAACATTCAAACTGAGATGAGTCGAAGAAAGAATCGTACGACTAGCCTCAATTACTGTTCTGCTATGCCACATTCCTGATCCCCGTATCTTCACCTTTGGTGACTTGATACATTTTGCTCATAAAGAATCTATAAACATCATTGACTTCATACAGCAAAGAAGGAAAAGAGAGGGGGAGGGGCTGCTTACTCTGTGTCCTAGTTTTCTGTGGCTGCGATAAACAGTGTGAACAAAAAGCAACTTTGGGAAGCAAGGAGTTTATTTGACTTACATGCTCATTGTGAGACAATTTAGAGCCTAAGCTCAAGGCAGGAACCTGAGGCAGGTACTGAAGCGGAGGCCAAGGAAGAAGCTGCTTACTGAAGTCTCCATGGTTTGTTTGGCCTGTTTTCTTATTCAACCCAGGACTTGTTGCCCAGGGGCAGCAATGTCCACAGTGGGCAGCATTCTTCCATACCAATCATCAATCAAGAAAATGACCCACAGAGGTGCTCATAGGACCATCTGATGGAGACAAATCTTTAACTGAAATTCCTCTTCTCAGATAAGTCTAGCTTTGTGTCAAGTTGACAAAAGACTAACATCTCATGTGGCCGACAACTTCAGGCCAAAATGTAAAGTCTGCTTGAGAAACCCTGAAGTTCTCCAAGATTCCTCTCTTCCTGTGATGACACAAAGTAAAATAATTTAAGACACTGCGTGGTTCTAACTGACATTGTTCCTGATAAAACATGGCTGAAACATTTGATGGATTACTTATCTTCACAGCAATGACTGATTCAAGTAAGAGAGAATTTGATTATGAGAACACATGAAGTTGCTATAATTCTGAGAACTAAATTCTACCAAAGAAAGGGAAGACAGCATTTTTTTCAACAATTCAGCCATGGGATTTTAATCTGATTAATGGTATCAATAATAAGTTCTGTCCTGTGGAGCATACATTAAATCTAAAGCAGAAAAAGATTGGCTGCTACCATAATACTCATACCACTATTGTACCAATGAACATATCTAGCCCTTGGAGTGGTTATTGTAAGTTGCAGGGTTCACAACTGAGTAAGAGTGTAGTGACTTGTTTCTTTTGGTTTGCATACATAGAGGCTTCCAGCACTATAAATGGTAGTCAATAGGGAAGAAACTTCAAGAATCCTGTATCCATGCTATAGGTAAGTAATATCTGTCCCCAGTTCCCATCCTTATGACTTGCTTTATAGGTTTCATTATTTTGATTAAGGGAATTAAGAATAAAGGTTGTCTTTTCTGAGATTTTATTTTATGAGCAACCAAATTCTATTTTAAAGCATATATTTCAAAGCTTGAGAACATTTTAGTTATAAATTTACTGCAAGAATTAATGTTTAACCAAAATGACTAACTCAAATGCACAATCTGGAACTTTTTGCTGTACATTTATGTCTTTTGATTCCCTTATTTAGGGTTAGTGTCTTAATAATTTGAAGTTTAATTTTCTCCTGACTTATTGTTGATAAGCTTGTGTTTATTGCAGTTTACCTGTTTAATTGTATCTAAAGTATCTAAAGTGATGGCCTCAACAACAGAAGTGTGGTGGGTATTCTTTCATTGAGTTCTCCTTCTGTCTAGCAGTAACTACTGGTTCCCTCATCTTTCCCACCTACACTTTCTCTCTTCTTCCATTCCTCTTCTGTTCCCCCATTCTTCATTCAAGTACTTCTGGTTATAATTAAACAGCCAAGAACCTTACTTACATTAACCAAGGACATTGAGGTAATTGGCATTTACTCACAGTCTGATATTGTCTGAAACCATGTGAACAAAATCCAAAACTCTTCCAAAACATGAATCTAGGGTTTTCTAGAGATGTTCCATACTAAAAATGAGTTCCACTGTTTTTACATTGTCGCAGGAATCAAACTGACACACAGGAGCATCATTAACGCTTTGTTAGTTTGATAGTATTCTATTTATCTGAATAGCTTTTAGACTATCATACCAGTGGATCATTAACTATGGTATTTCAAATTTATGCACAGTTTAAATATCTATTTCTTTATACTATTAACTTTTATTTCAGATAATCACATTTATATATTTCAGGTACTGCTAATTATTTATTTTAATATGTAAATAGAACTTATAATTACAATGAGAGGTAAAATATGATGAAAGGGAAACTGTGTAGTTATCGCTTAATTTAACAGAATTATAGCAAGTGTTTTTAAATAAACTCCTACCTTTTATAAAACTCATTTAAAAAAATAGATATTATTTTGATTTTCTATTAAAGTCCGACAGAAAAGCATGCAATCTTTTTCACTTTGAGCATTCTTGAAAATTCCCTCAAGAAAGACACGTCAAAGCCATAATGTTTATCTTACTTATTGTTGAACACAAACTATTGATGATGTCCAAATGGTCACATTTTTATAATTTTATCACTACAAAAATCAGATTTTCCACTAATTCAATGGTTATGAGTATATGTCTGAGTAAAGCAAGCACTTGTGTATCTTTTTAGAGATTTGGTACTGTAGCTGCATCCTGAGCGAATCATTTGGACAAATGCTGAGAGACATGATCCAGCAAATTATAATCAATAGGAGTTTATTTAATAAATCAGTTGGTCCAGAGAGTAGAGCCCTGTGCGGAGCAGCGTCAAGAATTCTGTGTGACCTTCCTTCATGCCGTGACTTGCTTTGCGAATTGGAAAAATCAGTTAACCTCTCGGTACTTCAGTTCATCCATCTATGAACTGAGGAGGGCAACATTTGCTACCGTGCTCTCCAGTCATCTGGAGGTTAATGGGCTTTGGAGTTTATCAAGTGCTTTTTCTACAGGCATGGGAAGACTCTGCGGGAGGACTTAGTGCCATGCAACTGGGAAAATTTTTCTTACAGCTCCAATAACATAATCTTTTTTTTAAAAAAATAAAAGACCTGACAGACAATACAAATTGCATGATAAAATACCCCCAGTAGCGTCTTCCTGCGCTTGCCATGTTATCAGAGGAATATGAACACTTCTGAGCCCCAGCTCTGTACTGGGCACACATCCCTCAGAGTAATTACATCTGGAGCATCTCTGCCCATTGCTCCCGCACATTAGACAGCTCTTCCCACCTCAGCTCCAAGTATTTTTATTCGAGTACTTCATCAAGTTGCGTGGTTTTATGAACTGATTACTAATTTGAAAATAAATAAGTCTTTTCATGCAATTAATTTGTCTGCTACTTAATGGCACATTGAAAAAAAAATGTTAAGACCTTGAGTGAAAACTGCAGAAGTAAGATTTTGCACCAGCAGGAAGTCTGCCCTGCCCTTCTGTGTCTGCTGCAGCAATTGTCTCAGAGCTCTGATCAAGCTAAAAAGAGAAACCATAATAGCTTGGTTTTGT